GCAACGGATTTCCGCTGAAGGACATGCGCAGCACGCACACCGAGATCAGGGGTCACTCTCCAGACGGCAGCGAGGAGGAGATCATGACGTACAACGGCATTATGAGAACGACCAATGTAAGACAAAAGACGAAGAACGATATGATGGTTTGATGAGGATGCTAAAGGCTTTTTTTCTTTCAAGGTCCAGGTTACGTACAATGATTCGAATTCTGTTATGATGGATAAGGATGGGGAATCGGGGCAGGAGCGTTTGGAGTCTGAGAAGCCGGTGAGACGGAACAGCAAGTTCGGCGTGGGTTCTGGCGTATGACAGGAATTTTGAGTGGCTTAAACAAGGGTGCGTGGATTGGTTCAGCATTTCCTTTGTCTTTCTGTAATGATATCAGGACGCAGCAGTTAGCGATATGGATAGCTGGTTGGATGTCTGCCTCAGAGGCCTGGTTGCGCAATGAGGTGTCTTTCCTGTGCCGCCATGAAATTAACTTCATCGTCTGACACATACTTTGGCGGCCTTGGTTGTTCTTTTACTTCCTTACGTCAGTTCACCAGCACAATTCCACATCTTTTGGGGTGCTGCCGCAAACTTTCAAGAAAGATTAAAAACACAGTACTCGTTGTAATGCTTTTTGACGAACTCTACGACGAAAGTTCGGTTTATCTTGTCGATTGCGACTCTGCGGGTGTAGTGCAGTACACGACTTTACGGGGTCTCAGCCACGCAAGTGTGATTTAAAAACTCCCATAGTAGGTTCTGCTGCTGATCGCTCTTCTAGGACAAAATGATGCAGCTCGCCCATCGTTAGACACCTACTTTGCTGGCTTTTAGTCTTACGTAACTATCCTTGTGACAATTCTCAGTCATCGCTTCAGAGCTCTTCAATATTTCCAGCAGGACTAGAAGAATGATAAAAACGTGGCGCGCCGGTATCAAAGTCATAAGCCTGACCTGCACCCGGGGTTGGTCCACCGGGGGTCAAGCCTCACAGCCTACTTCTTAAATCAACTTACGGTAATGAGAGCTTTGTCACGGAATCTGGCCGCTCGATGCCAGACCTGAAAGTATGAAGGAGTCATCTAGATGTTGGGTGATTCTGCCCCTGTGTCTTACTCTCGGGGCACCCTGTCTTTCACATTGGATAAAACGTTGGCGCCGACTAAAAGCTTTGGTCGTGTTTCTGTGAAAGCCAGACTTTCTCAAGCTGAGAGACCACCGGTTTGAGACATCTGGTTCTCTTGCGCCCATCAGCCAAGCGTCATCTCACCTAGGTTCACCGGATAGGGAGATTTTGTTTGATGGCATCTAGACTTGGTCACAGAGAACAGTTCTGCCAGCCGAACCTGCAATGGTTGAATATTCAAGCATTCAGACCTGTTATCTCGAGCGGCTGTGATGTGGCTAGGCGCGTTTAAATAGGAGAACCCTGAAGGTCTAGATCTACTCACCGAGCAGATGAGTGGACCTCCACCGACACACCGAGACAACTTACATGGCGTGCTTCCTTATTCCCACTCTAAATCCTCTTTCCTTAGCTGCATCGTAGCTCACCCTGCAATCTTCCCGAGACTTTGACCCTGGCTTTACACGTTCGTTGAACTTTCTACCACACAAAAGAGAATCTATCAGGTCAAGAGGTCATCCGAGAAAGTGCACGACTTGACAAGTGTGCAGTTTTCTGGTAGGCTCGTCAAAGTTTTCTCATAATATACGGGAGCTGGCTCCCCCATGTTGACATCTGCATGCAAGAGGCTCACCACTATTGTTAACTTTTATTGTTCTTCGATCACGCCGACTCTCCTGAATTCATCTCTATCCCGTCTTTAAGCTTTGCCAACCTTCAGGATAATCCTTGGCTGGAAAGCTTAAGACCACCTTGAGACGTCGCATTGGAACGAATCGCGCCAATCATGACGCAGCATTCGTCGGATAAGACGGCGAGTTCATCTGATCTCAGTCGCGGTCACCTGGCGACCGGGACAATGCTCAACATAATGGCCCTGGAGCTATCCGAGGTGTAGCTCAAATGCCGGCAGGCCGTCTGGGTAATCTCCCGCAGCAAATGACATCCTGCAAGGACTGACAAGAGGGCGAAAAGACGGCGGTCTTGGGTCCGCGAACCCCAACCTCGCGTGCCTTTATCCCGTCGCCTGACCATTTCTTCACAAAACATGGAAATCCTCCGTTTCGTTTCGCACCAAACCCAAAGGGATATCCGACCTAGAGACAGGCAATAGGGTCTCGCTGCTGAATGTTCCCCTTGTTACGTATTACCCGATGCCCCTCCCTAGTCACTCCCCCTCGCGTCTCCGGCACTCATGTTGCATTGCCGTCCCAAAAAGGCAAACTACCGCTGGGGCATCCCGGCCGAGACTCTTCCACTGGCGGCTTTTTCTCCAAGAGCGCACGATTGGCGGAGATTCCTGTTCGCCGCAGGCCAGAAAAACGTGTCAACCAAATAGGGCCCCCTTTTTTTTCTTCCCAAAGCCAGATTGATTGCGCGATTGTCTTACCTTAAGAAGTGGGGATGCGAAGGGGTCACCGCGGCAAACTTCTTCCCATTCGAGAGTGAGAAGGCCGACCAGCCGGGCCCGAACAAACTGCAAAGCGCAGCGAGGAACGGAGATTCAAGGCACGCCACGCGCCCAGGTGTTCTGTTCGAAACGAGCAGAGCTACTGCGTGGTACGCTGCGTGTGGGGTTTCCTAGCCTCTCCCTCCCTCACTCCTCTCCGCCCAGCGGCGCCCTCGATGCGACCTCAGTCCGCTCACCTGATTGCTGGCTTGCGTTCAGCCGTTCCGCTCTGGGTGAACACTCGCACTTTACATGGCACACACTGTCCAGGCCCGCGCCCGCTTTGGGATGTCTTTCACGATGGTTCTCGCCCAATGATGGGCCGAGCAGCCACCCCGGACGAGTGGAATCGGCACGTTTGTTGCCTTTCGATATTGAGGAGGTCGATGGTGAGAAGCAAGCGACGGTTGGCCCATGACTGTGACTAGGGACAAGGTTTACTTACGGTCGTGATCTTTATTTGGGAGCGTGGGATTTCCCACAAATCCCGGCTCATGCGGAAAGCTTCATTAAGAAGCCCTGACATCCCAACATCCCATCCCGTCTTAAGAAGTGAACTTTGTTTCTTCTTCCTTTTGAGGCTGTCATCCACTTCTTAACGACACCTTTCTCTCTCTTTCTCTCGTTCGCTTGGCCGAATCATCACTTTCTTTCACTTCCAACTTGATCCATCTCAAACCAACAACATGCGTGCGACTCTTTCCGTAGTAGCCGGCCTTCTCGGCCTGGCCTCCGCCCTGCCCGCCGGCGACGTCGCCGACTCCTCCGTCCTCGAGAAGCGCGCCACCCCGACCGTCTGGATGTGCGGCGACAGCACCATGGCCAAGGGTGGCGGCGGCTCCGGCACCGAGGGCTGGGGCCAGTACCTGCAGTACTCGTTCGACACCAGCAAGGCCAAGGTCGACAACCGGGCCATCGGCGGCCGCAGCGCGCGCTCGTACACGCGCGAGGGCCGCTTCGACACCGTCGCCGGGCTTGTCCAGTCCGGCGACTGGGTCATCATGGAGTTCGGCCACAACGACGGCGGCTCGCTGAGCACCACCGACAACGGCCGCACCGACTGCTTCGGTGATGGTACGCAGACGTGCCAGACGACCTACAAGTGAGTTGTTGTGTGAGATGTGTGAGTGCAACAGAGACTAACGATGGATGCAGCGGCGTCGCGGAGACCGTCCTTACTTTCCCTGCGTACTTGAAGAACGCCGCAACCAAGATGAGCGCCAAGGTGAGGCTCAACGATCGCCAAGTCCATCACACGCAGGAAGCTAACCCCGACCCAGGGCGCCAAGGTCATCATCTCCGCCGCCACTCCCAACAACGTCTGGGAGTCCGGCAGCTTCTCCTGGTCCGCCGACCGCTTCTACTACTACTGCTGGTAAGTTCACACCAACAACAACTCGACATGGCACGACATGGTACTGACACAGTCGACCCCAGGCTCGCCGTCCAGCAGCTCGGCGGCCCGTCCAAGGGCTTCTACTTCGTCCCCCACGGCGAATACGCCGCGCAGGCGATGAAGAACCTCGGCGCGACGACCATCAACGCCAACTACCCCAACGACCACACGCACACGGCCCCGTACCTCGCCGACGTGATGCACAAGGCCTTCGTCCTCGGTCTCGAGTGCGGCACCAGCGCGCTCGCCAAGCTGGCCAAGAACACGACTGCCTCGCTCACCTCGACCTACCTCGGCGCCTGCATCGACAACTACAACTCCACCGTCCACGCCCTCCTGCGATAAGCAGCCTCGTGGCTTTTTCCAATTGTCTATATTACAAGCGTACATAAGCTTGGATTTCATGCACATACTTTAGGATCTCGGGCGGGCTAGGACACTGTCAGTGGTCTAGTTGCCTTGAGCGTATATACAATGCATAGCATATTGCCTTTCATACCTTGCTTACACCCCGAGTGTCTGAATACTCATACTGAAAATCATGAAGTGATGAGGTTTTACGTGCGGCCGCAGCGATGCAGAACTCACCTCCCGGACGCAGTGGCGTCTTTCGACCGAAGATTGGATGAAATTCCGACATGAATGTCCGGTCTTCGTCAGCGTTTCACGACCAACAGCTGCACGACGATATTTTCGTGAGACCGAAACCAAGGATCCGGAGCCGCAGGGGTTGGAAGCGGAGTGCCGGTGGCGAAGCTAGCTATTCTAAGCAGGACGACAGACATCGCGACCCGCATCATTGGCCGAGATACGACAGCCGCATTCCTCCGACGCTGCAGACCACCTGCAGGCCGCAGGGCATAGTACGACATGAAAATGCTTGAAAAAGCGGTTCCAGCCTTGTTTATCTGCCAAACAATTGAGCTTTTCTAGTCTGCCCCATCACTGCTTCGTGCCGTCTCTTACCAGACTTCAAGAGGTCTAGTACCATCTTCTCTCCCTCGCTTAGACATCCCGGCATCAAATCGCCGACCATGGCCTCCTCCGACATGGTCTCCGTAGAATTCCTTCCGACCGGCACATGCTGGATGCGCGAGCCGATGAGCGGGCAGCCCATCACCAACGCCTTCGTGCCCTTCCGCATGCTCCGCTCCTTCACCGGCCCCTGGCTCGGGCCCCTCCCGGTGGGCGCGTTCCTCATCCGGCACCCCGCGGGCCCGATCCTCTTCGACACGGGCATCTCGACCAAGTGTAACGACCCCGGCTACTTCCCCTGCTGGAACCCCATCCCCGGCATCCTCAACAAGTTCGACGTGACCCCCGAAGACGCCATCATCAACCGCCTGGCCGAGCGCGGGGTGAAGCCGGCGGAGCTGCAGGCGATCATCGTGAGCCATCTGCACCACGACCACGCGGGCGGGCTGAAGGAGCTGGCGGCGGCGGCGCCGGAGGTGCCAATCTACGTCGGGGGCGAGCACTGGGACGCGTTCGGGAAGCACACGATCTACGCGGCGATGCAGGGAGCCATCCCGTCGGACTGGCCGCCGGGATTTGAGCCGCGGATTTTGGACTTTGACGAGAAGAGGGCGCTTGGGCCGTGGGGGCGCTCGTGTGCCATCACGGCGAACGGGACGGTGGTCGCGGTGGACACGCCGGGGCATGTGCCGGGGCACATTTCATTGGTTGTTGTCGGTGATAATGATGACGGGACGAAGACGACGTACCTTCTGGCTGGAGATGCGACGTACGGCATTCATTTGCTGGATGCGGAGGCACCGGATGGGGCGAACAGTGACCCGTTCACGGCGTTTGAGAGTCTGAAGAAGATTAAGGAGTACGCGAGGCAGACGGACATTGTTGTCTTGCCTACTCATGATCCGGATACGCCACGCCTGCTGAAGGAAAGAGTGGTGTATCGGCCGAAAGATGAGACCAAGGAGTGAGCGGCTTATGTCAATTGGGAAACGCGGCGTTTGTGACACTTTGGATAGGCATAGAAAATAGAGTCAGTTCATGTACAGGCAGGCTTGTGAAGAAACCCTCGTCGATATTTGGTTAGATTTGAAGTCGATTAGGAACATACCGCCTTGTTCTCGTCGTAGATATTGTCGAGTGTGACGGGCCAGCCTTAGCCTAGGTTTCAAGTTGTCAACATGGCGAATGTGGTTCCAGTGTTAAAACACAAACCGCCGGTTCATCCTGTCCTCGCCATCTCAACGCGTACAACAGATCTATCAGAAACAAACCACCGGAGAGAAACACATGGCTCCGAAACGGGGGTCCGCAGTGGATGCATCCGCAGCGGGACGAGAGCTCGGGCTGTAGATCCACGTGTGATCGGCAAGTGGGGGAGAGGCGCGGGATGATGGGCAGATGGTCGCGTTGGCTCGACCTTTTTTGCCCAAATGATGCTTCGGGATGTTGATCTGGACAGTACGTTACTAAACCGCGAACCATTGTCACGGAGCCCATCGACAGAAACCAGGTCATCTCGGTAAGTCTGGTGGGCTGCTGTTTTGGGGAAATGATTCTAGTAGACGTCGAAGCAGACTACGCGCTTAGCACGATGGAAGCGTGGTCCGCCGACCGACCGACCGACCGATGCATCGACCTTGTGAGAATGACAAGATGAAGTGGCCAGGCCTTGGGATGAGGAAAGAATAAGCACAAAGCACTTATCTGGCAAGCTCAAGCATTGGCTCAAGGACAGTAGACACAATGCTGTGTGTTTGGAAATCCAGGCAACCTTGACGTCTTGTTCAAAGTCAACACACTTTCAGTACGACCGTCCACCCATCTTCGCATCCTCGAGACGTCCGACATGCTGACGCCAAGCTCACGCAGCTTCACCCCCGCCTCCAATCCAAACGAGCTACTGTCAGACGAACACTACGTCAATCTCGCCTAGCCGAGCCATGCTTACCCTCGCCAAAGTCCCCTCGAGATAGACCCTCAACCGCATCCCACCTCGACCAAACATCACAATCTGGCCCAGATCAAACAACCCACCGACAAAATGGCCTCCGCAAACCTCCCGGAGACGATGAAAGCAGTCCAGGTCGTCGCCTACAACGCGCCCTACAAGCTCACATCCATTCCCGTCCCCTCCGCCCTCGAACCCCACGACATCCTCGTCAAAGTCGCCGTCGCGTCCTACTGCCACACCGACAGCCTGTTCCACGCCGGCGCCCTCCCGCTGCCTCTCCCCATCACGGCCTCCCACGAGGGCGCCGGCACCGTCGTCGCGCTCGGCGCCGCGGTCGCGAACTTCACAATCGGCGACCGCGTCATGTGCGGCGTCCCGCTGGGGCTATGCGGGAGTTGCGCCGAGTGTACCGGCCCGGAGCGGTACACGCACTACTGCACCAATCAGAAGGGTATTCTCGGGATGCAAGTGGACGGGTGTATGGCGGAGTATGTCCGCGCCGACGCGAGGACGAGCGTGAGGATTCCCGAGTGCGTCTCGCTGATCAGCGCCGCGCCGCTCGCGTGTGCCGGGAGGACGGCCTGGCGCGGGGTGCTGCAGGCTGGGTTGGAGGCTGGGCAGTGGCTTGCCATCGTCGGGGCGGGCGGCGGGCTGGGGCACTTGGGCGTGCAGATGGCGAAGGCTTTGGGACTGCGCGTGATCGGGATCGATGCGCGGGATGAAGGGTTGGAGCTGGCGCGGCGGAGTGGCGCGGAGGTTGTGCTTGATGCGAGGAAGGGGAACGCGGAGGTCGTGGCGGAGGTGCAGATGGCGACGGGGGGAGTGCTGGCGGACGCGACGGTGAATCTTGCGGATGCGGAGTCTGCTGCTGGGCTTGCGTGCGCGGTTACGAAGATGCATGGCACGATGCACCAGCTTGCGCAGCCGATGGAGGTGAAGATTCCGTTCTTGGAGTTGATAGTGCGTGATATCACGGTGAAGGGCACTCTGACGTGCTCAAGGGGAGAGACGGAGACGATGCTGGAACATATTGCGGAATGTGGCATCAAGCTGGAGAACAATGTCTTCCACGGACTGGACAATTTCTTCGAGGCATTGGAGCTTGTGAATAGCGGTAAGATCAGCGGAAAAGCCGTTATCATAGTGGACGAGGAGCAAGTGAAGGAGGATGAGAAGATGGGTGCCAAGTATTAATGGTTTACTCTTTTCTCTAGTTTACAGTTACAAAGGACTCACTCATCATCTTATGACTGGTTAGACGCAGCCGCTGCCGTAACATCCTTACGATGCTTATCCCACGGGCTTCCTCCACGGTTCGTCGGGGTATCAGCCATGTGGCTCGCAACCTTGGTATCAACCGGCCGCTGATGCCTCTCCTTCCCTTGGCTGCCGCCTCCCGTGCCAAACATACTCCCCAGCTTCTGCGAGATGCCTCCCTCGGTGTTACTCGCACCCGCGCTCGACCCAGGGCCATGCGTCTCAATCGCCCTGCTATTCGCATTCCCGCGTCCCTGTCCACCGCCGATGGCCCCCGCGTCCGACGGGAACTTGTCCTTCGGGCCCTTGGGCGTGTCGCGGTTCGGGTTATCCGTGTTGCCGCTCTTGAGACCGGAACCAATGTCGGTGCCGCCGGTCGTCTGGTTCATGCCCACGCCGGCGCCGCCCATGCCGAGGTCGCGTTTCGCGTCGGCCTGCTGCTTCTTGTTGGCGACCTCGTCGGCTGTCGGGCGGGGCTTGTTTGTGTCAAATACTTGTTGGGCCGGGTCGCCGGCTGGGTTTTCCGGTTTGACGTGTCTGTTGAAGGCGTAGAGGCCGCCGCCGAGGAGGACTGCGCCCGCGGCGATGGGTGTTGCGAAATGACGGGCAGCCATATTGAGGGTTTCTCTGATGGATGTGTTTTGGTCGAATTGTTTGTCTCAATAAGCTTTGCGGTTTCAATTCTTGGTGGCTGTGTGATGTAACTGTAGTGCAGAGTGGTGAACGAAGTATCAAGAGGAATAACAAATGAAGAAAGAGACATTACATTCGGAGCCCAGCTTCACTTTAACAGGCCCTCCTCCTGACGAACTATGGCATCATCCCTCCCGCACTAGGTTGCCCACTGCAAACGCGCTCATACCTCATCCGATGCGAGGGGCGGGCGCAGAATCGATGACAGCTTGTCGCAGGAGCGATGACATCAGGATTGTGGTGGTGCGATGCGCATGTTCAACGCCATGGCGTTTTAGCGGAGAAACCCCTTCTTTTTGCGGAATGCGGTTCTTCTTCCTGTCCACCCTTATGCAGGGCCGATCGGCAGGAACCGCAATCGATGACGATTTCGTTGATTCGCCAATCGAGCTACGTAGGTCGTGAAACGAGGGGCAGTGCCCGCGGATCTGAGATTTGTGGTATCATTTGGTGGGACGGTTTGCTACCTATGTAGGTAAGGTAGGAAGGCAAATGGGCATTTTCATCTACATGCTGAATTCCATCACAGCGTTGCATCGCAGCAGTGGACTTCATGTGCGCCTGAGCGGCTGCTCTTCATCATCCTCCTCCTCCTTCTCGCCAGCGTGTTCTCGGTCGCAATTTGAACCATAAGGGTCCGATGAGAGGGGCATGTCCGGTTCGGCATCAGTGAACCCCCTCGACAGAAGACCAACGGTCGCAGTTTTGGTTTCTTCATCAGCAACACCGCCCTGCTGCTCCATCCAGTTCACCTTCTTCCCCAACGACGCCCTCACATACACACACACCACCGCCAGACACGCAGCCCCGATCGCAGTAGCCTCCACCACGACAAACCCCTCCCCAAACCGCGCATCCACCTCCCCCGCCCCCGGCCGGCTCACGTAGCTCTTGAGCAGCAGCCCCTTCATCACCAGTCCGAACGCCGGAAGAAACACAAACGCCGGCAGGGTGAACCAAACCCACGCGCGGTACCTGTCCCAAAACCCCGGCGACAGGGCCTCGATCTGGGCGCGCGAGCCGCGCGGGCAGGGACACACGCGCTTCAGGGCGGCGAAGTAGCACTGGCACCGCAGCCAGCTCGGGCGCGCGGCAATGAGGGCTTCGGTGAGGAAGAGGACGGCGATGTAGGCGATGGCGAGGATATGCGAGGCGTACTCCAGCGTGCGGCTCATTTCGAAGCTGTCGCGGCTGAATGTGTTGAAGAATGGTGATGTGCACTGGTCTGCGCTGCGGAGGCAGGCCCATGAGGAGGGGTCAACGCCGAGGTGCTCGCCGATCTGGATGAAGTCATATGGTAAGTTGGACTCGGCGGTAGCGAAGGCCGCGGTTGAGGCGTTTGGGTACTCGTAGCCAAATGAGGAGAGGAAGAGGTGCATCGTGAGATCGTATGAGCCGGGCTTCGAGGGTGAGGGGACGATGCCGTCAAACTGTGCGACGGTCAGCCAAATTTTGAGCGATGCGCAGCCACCAAAGGTTGCAGACGCACTTTTAGTATTGACAGGCTTGACAGTCCCAATCGCTGGACGCCATCGCAGCCCCGTGTGACCCATGTGCCGGCGATCAGGGTCAAGATCTGTACGACGCCGGCGTAGAGTGCGAGGGCACATGCCACGATAAGAAGCGCTGTGCGACTGCGCTGTCGCAAGCCCGATTTGGGCTTCTGGCCCATCTTCATATCGAAATATGCTGTCTAAAACGGGTTCAAATGCGCAGCCAAGATCTCCAAACGCGACCGCTGTCCCGGGAGGTTGGGAGAGTTTCGCGGGAGCGCAGATTCAGATGAACGGAGGACGCGGAACGTGATGGAGGGGAAGGGGGGGCGATGAACAAGCTTAAAAGGCGATAAGAGGGGGATCGGCTTTCAGGCTTATGCCGCCAGGTCCAGGGGTTGGTTGGTTTGCTCGTGTCTAAAAATGCTTCCCTTCGCTTTCGTAAGCCACACGCGCGGGGTCTTGGCGTTGGCGGCATGGATGGTTATGTGTGAAGTTGATCAATCATTTGTTATCCCACGCATGGAAGTGCTTGCCAGCGAGAGAGAAAGTTACCATTCCCGAGGAAATCGTTGAATTCTGGCACAAAATGGAATTCATCTGTTCAATCGCGCCTTGAACTCTGGCAATCTGCAGGGCCGTTACTCATCCCCGGCACCATCCCCGAACCCGAACCAACGGCGGAACTCCGTGTGCCCGTATCCCATATCAATACGCGTATCACGGATACCATTACCCCAATTCCATGCGCCGCTTTTTCGGAACCCTCGACCTCAATTGTTCCTCATCCGTGGGCGACATCACTGCTTGATCTCCTGTTTGTGAAAGACGCCTATTCCCACCTTCAGCACTCACCCCAACAGCACACACAATAATACTGACCGTCAATCTCCGGCAGCGACTGTCTGTTCCGCAACCACCATTCTCGACTAGACGAGAAAAGATGGCGCTATTGAGTCAACGATGGTATCTTTATATATACAGACATTTACGTGTACAGGTCCTCCTTTGAGTCGAGCGAGCAGCAAAGTCATTGTTTCTGCCATTTCTCAAACGACTTCAACACCGTCAAACTCCACGTGCCCGACTTCCGCCAGCTGTCTCTCTCCATGGGCACAGTTGGCCCGACATAGACCTGCCGAGGATGAATATCTGCCATCCTCGCCAGGTCCGATAGACGGAAAGCGTGGCGGAATAGGGATGCCCAGAGGTCGTCGAAGAGGACTGATCCGAGCACTCTTAGAATGCCGTTGAAACCATCCGCTTCCTCTGCCACTTCCTCGCCCTCTTCTCTCCCACTTCCCCTTCTCCGCCTCTCACTATCCGCGCTTCCCACGGCGAGGATGAAACTTCCAAGATCGCCCACCGGAATGACGGGTCCGGCATTGTCCTGGATCGGATGCAGATAAGACTCGATGGACGCCTTGTCCGCAGCCAAGAAGACCGAGTCTGGACCTGTTGGGAGAAACATCGCCATCGCTGGCGACTTGCTATACTCCTGGTAATGTCTGTGGATGTCAGAGGTGCCTCCAAGTAGCCTGGCATCAGAGCACTCACCGTTTCGCTGCCTCAACATCACCTTCGGGAATGCCATGCTCCCGGCCATCGAGCCACCGCACCTTGCACAACGGCTTCACGTCACCAGCACCATGCACCCCGTCCCCCCAAGCCGTCACGTCGCTCTTGAACTTCTCCAGGAACGTCTTCCACTCCTCGTCAGAGTGTTCGTAACAGATGCGGTACCCGACGAACCCCCACGTCCGGAGGGACCGGTTGCCCAGGTTCATCATGTTCTTCACCTCACATATCCAAGGCTCGTCGCCGGAAATTGCCTGCGACGGCCCGCGCAACTCCCGCCTGGCCGTCACATACGCATGCGCTTGCAGCCGGCTGGTCTCCTCGCTCCGCACCGGATGCCCGCGCTGCCTCACGTCTGCGCCCTTCCGCATGGTGTAGAGCACCATCGCCTGGTTCGTGAGCCACTTGCACCGCAAGGCGTACACTTTCGAGCGGAACCGCATGTTGTACGGGAAGGCCGTCATGGGCGTCCCGCCCTGGTACCCCTCCCAGTTGTCGCGTATCCGCGGGATAGCCGCTGTGAGCGTCTGCAGCCGGAACCCGGGCAGTGTCAGCATGATCCGCGTGTCGACCTTGTTCGTGAGTTCCGTGAGATCGTGCACCTTGTCCAGGATCTCCAACTGCATGGGCATCAACGTCTGTATGGGCATCGACACCGTACCCTGCAGTCTCTCCCACTGCACCTCCCTGAGCTCATCCAACCGCGCCAGCGTCCAAGCATGCGCCCTCTCCGCGACCGTGGTCAAGTAATCCACCAGAAACTCCTCCCACATCGCCGTCACCGAGATCGAATCCCGGCCGCGCTCGCTACGGTAGGCGTTCAGCGCCCTCTCGAAATCGCTGCACGTGTCCCACACCCCGTTGGCCGCCTTGCGCATACGGTCCTGCGTCTGCGGCAGATTGATATACTCGAACGCGTCGACGACCTGGCTCAGATGCTCGCACGCTCGCTCAAAGTTGGCGAGCTCGTGAAGCCCCTTCTGGCGCCATCGCGTGAGCGACATGGGCGGCAGGCCGTGCAGCACCCGCGTCTTCATGTGATGCAGGTCGCGGTCGCACTCGGTGCTCGTGGTCATGACGATGCTGAGGAGATCCCCCATGCCCCCAATGATGCTGATCGTGCGGGATAGGGCGTTGTCGACCCGGATCCGGGGGTTGTTGTACGGCGCCGGCGCCCATTCTCTGTAGGGCTGGCAGAAGAGGGCCTGCTCATCTTCGTCGGACGGACGGGGCTGGGTTGGGTTCTTGCCGCTGAAGAGCTTCCCTTTCATGAAGAGGGAGACAAATTGGGTGGCCAAGGTGTTGGGAAGTACAAAGGCATCGTCTTGAGTGAGATATGTCAATAACAAATCCGGGCTGACAAGGGGCTCTTGCATAGGGGTTCTACTCACTGACAATCACCAGCTGAGGGTGCTTGTACTCAGGGTTGACCACGTCAACCCCTTGAGTGATGTGCTTCATGTCATCAAGACTTCGCCACGACATTTTGGCCTTCTTTACCGTCGAATGAGTGAAGTTTCATCAACAGTCTCGTAAAATTTAGTCAGACTCAAGGCAATGCTTATATCTATTTCTCTATTGCTGTTGGTACGGACGGAATCCCCATTAGCACCCTTCTGCCTATCATAACCATGTTCGGTGTGGCCAATAGGGGTAGTCTGTTGGAACCAGGGCAGTGAACAAGAACGGTTCTAGTGGCCCGGCAGCCTGGAACACCGGGCTAGAGCGCCCAAAACGGCCGTCGTTGCCTGGGCAGACGCTCGAGTGCGGCGCGATGGATTCCAATGCGGCGAACATCCGAAAAATGTCTGCACGCTTAAATTGCCTGCTTGGCGACGTTGGTTTTCACGAGTCCGAAGGTTGGACTGAAATATCGGATCCGAAAAGGTTGCCTTGTGAATTGATGAAGTAGATGCAGACCTAAGCTCCACATCCCTTCGTTCACCTACAGGTTGATCAACCACAAGTTAGTTACAATGGAACTTTAAGGTGGCACTAAAGGATGAGGTGCCAATGAGTCTCCAGGCCTCGGGAAACTACTGGGTATTTTTTTCTCCCTTTCTCGCCTCTGGCATGACAGTGTTGCCAGCTTCAACATGTGATTTTGTTCTCATCTAGTGAGGTTGCGCAGCAGGCCATGGCATCGCTCAATTCAATGCCATTGGCCCCTCCTCCTGCAGTTTGCTGTCTCTCACGCCTCTTGCTGACGCATTGCATCGACCAGCTGATCAAAACCAGCCCAGGTGAGGAAGCCTTGCCCTCTCATAAAAACGCGCGTTGCCCGCTCATGCGATCTCGAGGCTTGCGTGGGAACCTCTCCTGTCATCAGCGTCCCCTAGTCGATCAATCAAGCAACCCGCAAGCCTCACGCACCACGTTGAATCCTCTATTAGCGACAGAGGATCACCAATCGTCATAGATGATGTCTACCCTTTATACCCAACTACAGTTCTCCCATCCCGACAAGCAGATTAGACTGCTTGGCCTGGAGCCGTCCCCAACAGGGGCCGACGAGTATGTGTTCAGCATGGAGGTCCATGACTTTCAAGGGCATACCCGCCCATCCTACATTACTATATCCTACACTTGGGGCTTGCCTGATCCAAAGCTGTCTGTTGTAGTCAATAGCTTCAGGATGAGAGTCCAGTTCAATTGTTGGTACGCGCTTTGGCAGATGCGACACCACGAACACATGAGCAACACCAAGTTTTGGATCGACTCACTCTGCATAAATCAAAGCGACGACGAGGAGAAAGGTAACCAGGTCGCTATAATGGGAGAGATTTTCTCCTCTGCCTCATCGGTTGCTGCGAGCCTTGGAATTGGCGAAAGTCTGGGAAATGTGCGAGGAGTCCTCGCATCCGCCGACGATCGAGAGATTGGCAAGCTTCGGCTCAAGTTTGATCAACTTCCCTGCTTTGATAGGGTGTGGGTCAAACAGGAGATCATCCTCGCAAAGGAAATCACAATTTTCTACGGACTCGAGAGCCTGTCGTGGAGTGAATTTGATCATGCTGTCAAGAACAGTAACCCGAATATCATCAATTCCCAAAGCGATAATTCAGATTCCAGTTCCGACTCAGGCAAATTTCGCCATTTCAATTATGACCGCATGGTACGCGAAAGACTGGAGAGAAATTCTATCAGCGCACAGCTCTGCAACCACCGGTCTGACTCCACATGCATGCCATCAGCGTTCATGGACCTGATACCGAGATATAGCACGGCAAAGGCGTCGGTGGCAGTAGACAAGATTTACGCTCTCCTCTCTCTTCTTCCTCAAAACGACCCTATACGACAGAATCTCCTGGTCGAATACGGATAATCAACATGGTTTCCTCTATTCCGAGATCTGATCAAGCTCTTGTATAGTCACTACAAGAATGAGCGTGTGGAAGACAAACACAAAACTCTGCGTTTGATTCGCGATGTACTTGAAACTCGCGATCTTGATGAGGAGTTAATCAACTTCTTCAAGTCCCAAAAGCGGAATTCCTCTAATGCTACATTATTCCATCAAGAATCTGCGACCGTTCAAATCTTTGCCGTGGCGGTGTTGAAAGATAAAGCTTCCAAACACCTGCACGATGACGAGCTCAGAGTCGAAACAAACCAAGCAGAGCCACTGGAGATTGTTCCAGCCCATACTCGAAAGGAGAGGTTCTTGGTCAATTCTGATGTTCGACCTGGAGACCGCCTTGGCTACTTGATTTGGGATGCAGATGAGTACGACACGGTGGGCAAAGGGGCTATCGCCCATGTCATACTCCGCCCAATCACCATCGCAGATGGGAACAAGGATGAAGACTGTGATGTGCCTCTTGAAGATGAGACAAGCCGAGGCCGGACACAGTTCTTTCTCCATAGCTGGGCTGTACCTGTCAGTCGCAGGCTTACAGTCCTTTCTCGACGACCTAGTCGAGGTGGGGTCTCGTCAACAGGAATAATGCGAAAGGGAGGTAGAACATCCCGTTTGAGTTTGCACCATGAGGATGCTTTGATTCCCCTGCTTCTCAATTATCCCTTCCAATCATTATTGTACGTCAACAGCACGCCTAATTCGAGAGCAATCAATTTATTGTCCCGAGTTGAGGATCCTGAGGCTCTCGTGGAAATGTCGGAGAAATACTTGGAAGAATTGAAACACGGATATCCCGAGAATCCGCCGGACTTGCTGAGGGGGATCTATGAACAAATGTACAAATGGGAAGAATGGATGCATCGATTAGATCCTGGAGATTATTCTGACAGTCTCACGGTAGAATCGGACTTGTAGCACTACCTAAAGAAGCCGGCGCACCGTATTAATCCATAGGCGCTTCATCCCATGACTTTTTAGTAACAATTTAAGACTCAATGGTTCAGCTATTCAGAAGAAGTTACAAGAACACAAGATAGTCCCTGGCTTGATTATCTATTGCAAGGAATATCAGCAGCAGACTCACTTATCCCTTGGGCATATAAAGACAGCGCAAGCTAGTTTGTCGGTTCTTAAAGGTTCACCCAGGCAGCTATGGAGATATTTCCCAAGCTTAGTAATTTCAACTCTTCCTCATCTAATAAAGAAAGAGTTTCTTCAAGCTCTCTTGTGATTGCGCTCTGTCGAGGCCTAGCAACTTGAGGTTTGATGTAGCCTCTCTGGAACAGGCAGAGCCACAATTGACAGCAAGACACGAGAGGACCTACCCGTGCATCCGTCTCCGTTTCCCGAAACGATCCTCAACTCCAGCATACACTCCCTCGTGTTGGTCGTAGCGCCGCCCCCCTGCATGATAATGCATGCTTTACTCGGTTATCGGCTCACGACTCAGAACCACCACGCGGAAGCCGGCTAGCTCCCAGCAGGCTTCGGATACCTCGGATCACAGGCAATTTATCTCAGGAACGAAGGCAGCCAATCTCCCTCTGATAATCTGACCATGAACGGCAGCGGCAGGGACTCGCCAACTCTAATTCTCTCGCCAGGTGCCGTGCCGGTTGAGGTTCGCCCACGTGTGGGGACTCTCTCCCACTCAATGGTGGGAAATTGGCAAAGGACAGGAAGGGCGGCCTGAGATAGCGATGGCTACATCGGTCATGGCACGGTTGATTGGACGGGAAAACATCGCGGTGTCTACAACAGAGAAGGGCCCCAAAATCTTCCGTCGGAAGCAATTCGTTTTCTCACGAGGTTGAGGAGTTCGCTGGTCCCTTTCATCAGCGTAAACAGCATGGGAATGGGGAGGGTTGCATATAAGGATCCTTCGAAGTCTTGGCATCTGGGGTAGAAACAACAGTTGACGTGCATCTTGTTGCTTTTCTTTCCGAGATCCTCGCTGGCTTGATTTAGCTTGTTCGCCATGGCTGCCAAGACGCTTATCTCCATGCTTGCCGCCGTCAGCTCCGCCGCGGCTCTGACGTGCCAAGTTGCTGGTTCGTAACCTTAAAGCTCCATGGTCCTTGTCTCCAAGCGATAAGCTGATAAAACCAAATAGGCGGCACCTCTGATGATTCCCCTGCTATCCTGGCTGCGTTGAAGCAGTGTAACAATGGCGGAACCGTGCGTGGGATTGCGAATACTCAGCGCGCGGTGATTAGGATGTTGACTTGTTGCGTTCCCAGGTTGTCCTTGACAAGACATACACCATCGGCTCCGTGCTTCAGACGGAGGACCTGTCCAACATCGCCATCCAGCTCTCCGGCACTGTCAGCTTGAGCACGGATCTCAGCTACTGGCAGAAGAACTCCATCCAGCTGACCTACCAAGATGCTTACACCGCGTGGGCCATCGGTGGTAGCAACATCCACGTAGGTCCTCCCTCCCCTGGAACGGCAATCATTCCTGACAAGCTCTCAAGATCTACGGCGGCGGTTCTTACAATGGAGGAGGTGACGGTACGTGGCTCCCACTTACCTTCTGGCAATAGCGAGTGTTCGTTGACTTCTGCTGCAGCATGGTACGCGGCCGGCAAGACGGGTCCCATCATGTTGACCCTGCTCAACGCCAAGAATGTCCTTGTTGAGCACATCACCATGAACAAGAGCCCCTTCTGGCACAACCTCGTCGAGGGCTGCACCAATGTGACGTACAGCCACGTGAACATGAACTCTGTTCAGACGAGTGGAAAGCAGGCCCAGAACACCGATGGGTAAGCCGTTGCCCACTGCGCCAACGCTCTTCGATATAGACACTGACCGTCACAGCTGGGACACCTACCGCAGCTCCCAGGTCACGATCACCGACTGCACCGTCATCAACGGCGACGACTGCGTCTCCTTCAAGCCCAACTCCACCGACATCACCGTCAAGAACCTGTGAGTCCCCAATGTGGAGATGACACCCACGTCTGCCCGAGTATCAAGACTGACAGCCCCTCAGCTACTGCCAAGGCTCCCACGGCATCTCCGTCGGCTCCCTGGGCCAGTACGCCGGCCAGGTCGACATCGTGCGCAACATCTACGCCAAGAACATCACCATGGTCAACGCGTCCAACGGCGCCCGCATCAAGGCCTGGGGCGGCAGCGCCTCCCCCACGTCCACATCAGGCGGCGGCACCGGCGTGGTCCAGAACGTCACCTTCGACACCTTCACCATGAAGAACGTCGACCTCCCCATCGTCATCGACCAGTGCTACATGACCTCCGCCGCCGCCTGCGCGCAGCACCCCTCGGGCGTCACCATCAGCGACGTGCACTACATCGACGTGACGGGCACCGGCGGCAAGGCGGCTGAGGTCGTGAGCATGGTGTGCAGCGACGTCTGCCAGGATATCACCGCCACGGGCACGAAGCTCGTGGGCACGAAGGGCGGCGCGGAGTACATCTGCAAGAACGTCGCGTCTACGGATAAGTTGGACTTCCCCTGCAGCGCCACGGGCGTGACGGTCGGCGGCGGCACGACCAAGACTTCCAAGACTGCCAAGGCGACGGCTACCAAGAGTTTAGGTTGACAGGGCTAAACCGTCGGGCGCGTGAAGATGTAGGGAATGGATGCGACCCTCTGAAGAAGGGGGAGAAGAAGGAAAAAGAAGGCTTGGCGTAGCTGGACACACGTTTTTACTTTCAGTACATATCTTTTCACCATCCATAGACAGCTCAAAAGAAAGTTCCTTCGGTCAAATCATCCGCAATCTCATTCCTTCAACGGGGAGTAAACTCACTCAGGAGATCGACTCGTAAAGGCAAATAAACTCCAAAACGCCATAAACTAGCTCGTCACCCTCGGGGAGTCGGTAAACAGACTTCCCGAGCGTGTGACCGTGTAGCGCAAGCGCTAGCAAGCAAGCCATGAGTTCAGGGTCCCAGGCTGAACAACGATGAGAGAGGGAGGCTTTCCACCGGCCCTCGAGCTGTCCTCAGCTTCACCAACACAACCTGGCCTCTTTTCTTTCTTTCTTCCTCCCTCATTTGCATCGAACTTTGTCACAGAGCATAGCTTCCCGCCCGTGACAAGACGCTATTGGCATCCGTGCGCGTGAATGGCGGCAGACCAAGGCCAAGACACCCAATTGACAATTGACATCTTGGCCAGCCAGCGTCCGCGTTGCCGCCCGGCCCCGTTCAGATGAAAAGGGCTGTCGAGCACGTGAGGCCAAGCCGATCCGTCCATCCATCAATCGAGGTGGGAGGGCACGCGACACACCACCCACGACGCCGGGGCGATGGGGGATTCAGACGAAGACGACGGCGATGTGTTGGAGGACGGGACGGGCGATGACGCGGGTGAGCCATGCCATAACCCGATGCTGTACTTTGTAGGTCGAGGATTGAGGCCACACAGTCACACACATCGAGGGCGCAGCCGTGCACTCATTACCTAGGTACGACCTAGAGAAAACAATTGGTCTGCAACAACAAGACCAGCAGCAATTGTTATTTACCAGGGCGGAACCCGAGGGGCTCGGTTGATGGGCGGTGGCCGCATTCGGGCGGGGGCTTACATTAAGGATGAACATGGTTCAATCCAAAGGGAGCCCGTTTGATTCGTCGCCCGGACAAAGAGCAAGCGAGAAGAGAATGAACGTGTCTCCTCTTCTTCCTTTCTGTTCTACAGCCCCAGCAAGGCTCCAAGTACCAATCCGTAGCTCAGCTCAGCTCTGCCCCGTCCCGACTTTTTACATAATTAGGATGAGTTTAAGCCAGGCAGATGCGAATCCTTCGAGGCGGTACGGCTGATCTTTTTCATTTGATCTCTCTGTCTTTTTTTTCTCCGCGGACGCGCCCATCCATCCCACCGAGCGCATATGCCAGCAAGCAAGCACTTCAGTCCTCGGCCGAATTATTCCCTCAGCCCCAAACGGGGCATGCATCCGGGAGTCTAGAAGACTGGAGATTGGATTTCCCCAGCTGCACGGTACTCCGTTCTCATTACGATGTTTCCGCCTCCCGCGCGTTCCATCTTTACCAGCAGGGTCAACCTCAGCTGCACCGCGTATTTAAAGAAAAGCACAGCGTAACGGCTCTGGTCTCACGCGTGACATGGGCTGGGTTGCAGCTCTCTGGGAGGGGTGGGAACGCCCCTAGGCAGAAAGCTTGTTTCGGGCAGGTTTCCTAACAAGGAGTCAGCCACAACTTGATACACACCAAAAGATGAAATTTCTCCATGGACACCGTTCAATCCACACGGCGCCGTTACGTTTTCGCAGAGTCATGATTGGCAGTTCCCCCCCTTCCTTGGGCCGCCCCTAAGGTAAGGTGCAATGTGAGGCTTTTCCGCCCGGTTCTGCGGGTTCTGGGCCCTTGTTCCCGTCTGTCTGCTAGAGTCTAAGCATGTACAAGTAAGGTCGGTATGCATCCGCCCATTTCCAGGTACCTACCACATGTAGGATCTGATCCAATGACATACGCCCCCTCCAAGCTGTAACCGTACCAGAAGTAGGCTACGGCTGGCTGCCTGAAGGATTTTCATTGGCGGGAGTCGTCTGACATAAGGATGACCCCTGTTTCTTGACATTTCTGGTCGCCTGCTCGTATTCCTAACTGGTGACTGGTGCACTTGGGTAGCAAGGTTGGTAAGAAGGTACATACTAACTGTCTAACGTAGGGGGGCGGAGAAGACGACCGGGGCGTTTTTTTAACGACACTCTCGCTTAAACAGAACCAGGGAATGGGAAGCAAGCAGAAGCAAAAGCTAAGGCGGCATGGCAGACCCGCGCAAAAGGGCGGCATCGTCGTGGCTGCGGGGGAGATCTCCTTTTCGTTTGTTCCACATCCTTCAAATTTGCTGGCTGAACAGGCTCCAGCTGAGCCTGGAGGTACTTACTTACTTTACATGCAGAGAAAGAGAAAGACGCCATTTTCTGTGGCCATTGTCACACGGTGCCGCAAACCCGGGCGTGTTGCCAACGGAGGAGCCCTTGGTCGTAGCTTTAACCTGATGTATCCCGTACCATGGCCTAGGCAGGCATTTCCATCCATTCAATTGCGCCGTCCACCATCCCATCCACCTATTCGTACCCCAGTCTCGAGTAAGAGTGAATGGTCCATGGGTCCCGTCGGCAAACAACCCCGAAGGCTGAAGCAAACGGCCCCCAGGAGAGTCAGGAACGGCGGCGGGCCAAACAAGCAAAGCAAAGCACGAAGCAAAGCAGAAAGCAGGCAGACCAGGCACATAAGCATAAGCTCTCTCGACCGGGACTCCTCGATCTCCTTTTTCCTCTCCTTCCCTCCCCTTCCCCTTCCTTGATGTTTTGCTAGTTCTTACCGTCCCTTCTCCCTGTTGCTGCTGCCGTTGCATCATCATCCGTTTCGATACCCTTTTTTTTTTTTTTTTTTCTTTTTTTTTTTTTAGTTTTCTCTGCTGTTTCCTCTCGCTTGATTCACATCCCATTCACCCCCATCTCCACAACATCAACGTAGAGAGACGTGCAAAACTGGGGAAAGGGAAAAGAAGATATGAGTGCAAACTTCTGCATCCTCGCCCTCTGAACATATACCTAACTCACCTCCACTCCTTCTACTCCCCGTAACAAATATACACGCGAGACGGCTGTGGCCGACTCGTACCCAGAAGCATGCACCATGACTCTTCACCAGGCCCCTCCTCGCTACGCCATGGGTTTCTCACCTCGCCCCGACGACTGTTGATGGGCATGGGCTCGCGCTTCTCCAACCAGCGCTTCGTCTTCAGCCTGGCCGCCCTCGACGTCCTCGGTGCCAAGTTCGTCCACATCAAGAGCCACCTCTCCGCCCTGCCGACGGTCCATCTCGTGAACTGGGGCTACTCCTTCTTCGCGCAGGACTTTGTCCTGCTCATCATCCTGCGGCTGCTGCTCGGAGGATGGCTGTCCTCGAACCGCAACAACGACGGCGGGCTTCTTCGCCGCGCTGCCGCCTTCGCCAGCTGGCTCTTCATCGGGTTCGTCATCGGGCTCAACCTCGTCGGCATCTGCTTCTTCGCCATGTCCGGCTCCGAGATCCACTGGTCCAACATCGGGCTCGCGGGCGACGCCGCCGGCCGCGCGCTGCTGCTCACGGGGCTCTTCACCTTCGCCCTCGTCTGCGCTGTGCTCGCCGTGCTCGCCTGGGCCCTGAAGGACGTGCTGTTCGTCGCCGTGGGCCTGGCCGCGGATATCGTGTGCTGGCCCGTCGCGTGCATCGCCCGCCGCCGCCGGCCCCACTGGGCGACATACTCGGAGGTCCCGCAGCAGGATGTCGAGCACGGCGGCAGCACGAAGGAAACGACAGACTACGCATCCCCGCGGCGCAGCTTCGACCTCTCGCACGGGTGGGACGGCGTCAAGACGTGGCCGTGGGCGTGGATGTTCTGGATCGCGGCGTACACGCTCGCGGGCGTGGCGCTGCTGGCGCAGGTCATCATGTGCGCGCTGCGGCCGCACGAGAGCTCGCTGACGTTCATGTCGTGGACGCCGACGCTGCTGCCCTTCATCGACTTCAAGAACTCGTCGCCGAACCTGGAGAAGCTGGTCCCGCACTACAACTCGGGCATCAACCGCGACTGGGACAACCGGACGGCGCTGGCCGACGCGGTGCCCTTTGCCTGGCTGCCCAAGGATGTGGCACCCGAGGGCTTCGAGGACTGGTACGGCGGCAAGAAGCACTACAATGCGACGATGGACCCGCTGAGGATTTCTAACCTGGACGACAAGTTGTTGCCTGAGCTGAAGAAGAAGCTCAAGGACGTGCCGATCCGGCATGTGATGACGATTGTGCTGGAGAGCACGAGGAAGGACATGTTCCCGTTCAAGCGGTTCGGTATTAGTGAAGGGCGGTTGCGTGATACGTGGGTGCACGCGGGATACGACGGGATCCCGCCGGATGCGCTTGAGCGGCTGAGGACCTTGACCCCGGTAGCCAAGTTCCTCACCGGAGACCACGAGGATGGATTTGAGACGGAGGAGAAGAAGAAGAACAAGAAGGAAAAGAGCCGTGGCGGACTCAACTTTAACGACGCCTACACGACATCGACGTACACCCTGAAGAGTCTCGCGGGCAGCCTCTGTGGCATTGCGCCCCTGATTGCCGACTTCAACCTGGAGTACCTCCACCACTTTTACCAGCCGTGTCTCCCGCACATCTTCGGAGCCCTCAACACCCTCGAGAAGGACAGCAGCGGAGACAAGAAGAAGCCCTTCGGGTCGTACAAGTGGAAGTCGTCTTTCATGCAGTCCGTGACACTCGACTACGACAACTTCGGCGCCCTCATGAAGAAGATGGGCTTCCCGCAAGAAGGGCTCATCGACAGCGTGTACCTCCGCAGCGACGACGCAAAGTTCGGGAAAGTCGACTTGCCCAACGTCAACTACTTCGGCATGGAGGAGACGCCGCTCGAGGACTACATCCGCGACCAGTTCGAGAGCGCCAAGAAGGCCGACGAGCGCGTGTTCCTCACACACGTCACCAGCACCAGCCACCACCCGTACAACATGCCCAAGAACGAGACCTACGTCCCGCTCGCGCGCGGGCTCGACGACCTCTCGCACTACATCAACGCCATCGGCTACGACGACCGCTGGCTCGGCAAGATCCTCAACATGCTCGACGAGATGGGCGTCGCGGACGAGACGCTGGTCATTCTGGTGGGCGACCACGGGCTGTCGATCCCCGAGAACGATATTCTGGCGTCGTACTACAACCCCAACGTCGGCAGTAACCACGTCCCGCTCGTCTTCTCGCACCCGAAGCTGCCGCCCATCACGATCAACGACGCCGTCTCGGCGCAGCAGATCCTGCCGACGGTGCTGGACCTGCTCATCGAGACGGGCTCGCTGTCCAAGGACCGCACCGAGGCTGTGACGGATCTGTTGAGGAACTACGAGGGCCAGTCACTGCTGCGCCCCGTGTGCCAATCCAAGCAGGCCGAGAACAAGGGCGAGGTCGCAAACTGGCAGTTCACCGTGATCAACCCGGGGCGGGCGATGGTCGGCGTCCGCGACGGGCGGCACAAGTACTGGCGGATGGTGGTGCCGGTGGTGGACAACATCGAGTGGCACTTCACGGACGTGGCCAAGGACCCGGCGGAGAAGCAGCCGGTGCTCGGGTTCGACTTCACGGGCTTCCTGGCCAAGATCGAGGAGACGCACGGGGTCGAGGCGGCGCGGTGGGCCGAGGAGGCGGCGTTCGTGGCGCGGTGGTGGGTTGAGGAGAACAGCAAGCGGTGGCGTTTCGGACCTTATGCGGCATACTAGGATCATTGGAGATTTGCATCTTCCGGCGTTTGATTGATGATTGGCGTTTATCTTGAACTGGGATGGGGTGGTGGGTTGTAGCATAATTAGAAGACGAGGAACACAAAATTACAAGCTCCTGTTGAAACTTTCAATGTCCTTTTGTCTGTGGGTCATGACGACTCTTTGCCGTACGAATGTCTCGCATATTCGCTTTCTGTATGACTGGGCGGTATGCCCCATCATTGAAGCGCCCTGTCAACAGGTTCTGCGGAGATAGTTGTCAGCGACTCTGGCGGAAGAGTGTTCGCAAATCAAGGGCGCGAGTTCGTCTGATCTGATGTCGCGGTGAACCTTGAGCGACGGGCCGCACCCGATGTCGTGGGTATGAACGTCGTAAACTCTTGCAACCAGCACCTGCTCAAAAACGAATGCAAAATGTAAATAGTGAGGCTGGAATCAACAACTGACGTCGAAACATAGTTGTCGACGGTCTTGGCATTCTCGCGGGGTGTGCCGTGGATTCCGATGACGCGGCCAAGCTGCGGCCGGCTCGGAGCTCGGAGCCTTGCCGAGCCGGCTACATAGGTTGTCAAAGTTTCGGATCCTACGTTGCCTTGTTGGCTAAGTGGTATAGCGCCTCACTAGTAATGAGGAGATCGGGTGTTCGATTCACCCACGAGGCATTCGCCCGAGCATCTCCGTCGGCCGACGCTCATTTCCTTTTTCGCAATTTTCCACTCTTTGCTTGTCTTTTGCTGATTGATCAGTCCCCGTTGCGGTAAACTGCAACCTTCGCCTCCCAATTCAATAGTTTCACCTCATGCTCCAATGCTGCCCCATCACGCCCATCAGTAAGTAATCTCCCCATTTCCAACATTCCACCATCTCTCCGCGGACATTCGCGAACCGTGTAAACAAAAGCCGTCGGACTGATGCCGCCGTCGGCCCAGTAGGGCTGCCTCTTCCCAGAAGCTCTCAATCTGGGCCGGCATGTCGTGACCAGGTCCCCCCAATCTCGTCCCTGTCCCGGCTTCAGTCACGCACCGCAGCAGAAACTCCTCCGAGTCCCCAGCGGGCTGGGATGGCCGACCGACCGCGTCCGCGGAGTCGGACGAGGCGGTGCTGCCAGGGATTCCACGCGCTGCGCCCCCGCGGCGGCTCTGGGACCACACGGCGCTCAACAAGCCTCAATGATCAGTTCCTGCGCATTCACGTATCCCGATTGAATTCCTGCATCCCATCAATTGAGTTGCGGCAATCCCCCCCTCCCCCAAGACCGCCACCATCGCTCTGGTTGTCAAAACTGTCAAAGTTGTCAAGAAAATCAGACGGTCCCCACCACACACCTCATGCCTTTGGTCAAACGCCACGTGAACCTTTCCACGCGATGCTTTGCCTCTGCATGGCCCTTGATTTGCCCTTCCCGCGATGCGACAGGCGCAGTTACATTGATATCATATAAGACGAATGCAGTAAGCCCCTTAATACAACCAGCATATAACACATCTGCCAGCCAAGGCCACATCGCTTATCCAGCATCGTGGGATCTTCTCAGGAAGGATGTATCATCTTCCCATCGTCTGGGCAAAATCTTTAATTCATCATGAAACCGCACTCTCGAAAATGCTCAATGTCACCCTGAGAAACTGGGTCTGCAGCACCACGCAGCGGCCACATGGCACCGCACCGTGGGGTCTTGTCCATCTGCCCAAGTAGGCAGGCGGCTTGTTTCCGAATGCGCAGCAAGTTTTTTTTGCCTGAGTCCCGCCGGATAGTCGGCGATTATGAGTGATCATGAAATTCCGATCAGGATAAGTGACTGGAACAATATATTGGAACGGGCAGCCCGGCACGCCGGCGCAGGGAGGGAGGGACCACCAAGGGGCGGTGTCGGCACCAAGCTCACCTGTTCCCCCAATTTGTTAGCGTTTTATTAACGTTACATTGGCCGCAGATGGGTAAATCGGACTGCTCCCTCTCTGCGGTGTGCCGTTGGTATCGTGATCCGCGGCTTGTCTAGGCGAAGGCTGCTGCCCTCAGAAGCGCGTCCGTCCCTCGGGCCTTGGCCTCTGCGCGTCTTCTTTCACAATACCAAATGTTCGATATCCGTCAACGGCGCTAGCATCTTGTCAAAAAAACGCCACTTGACGTCAACAGCACACCAAGCGAAGCTCGTTCGCTCGCAAAGCTCGTATTCACAGCCGATCTTCACTGCTTTGCTGTTCAAACTGCCTTTAGTACGCCATCATCACCCGCTAAAAGGGCAGGTCATCAAGCGCGAAAACTGGACAGAGAACAAGAAACTAGGCGGCTAGCGGCAACACCGTTAGTTCACCTCACATCTCTAGCCGAGCTCGCCAGAAATGTTGCAGAACTTGTGAAAGGTGCTGGATAAAGCAGCCAAGCGACCTTGCTGGGAACACCCTCTGCATTATTACGACACTTATGACGGGCCACGGTGGAGCGTTCCCCTGATCGCCTGATACTGACTCGCGCTCTGCCTTTCCTTGTGCAGCCAGCCAAACCACAAATTTGATGCCCTTTGCAGCGCTTGTCCCATTCTGAGCAGAGAGTTCTGCCCACTGTTAACGTGCTAGACCAGGACTAGGAATCGAGCGGCGCGGCGGCGAAGGGCAGCGAAGAGGGAAAAAAGTAGAGACAAGAACCCAGGCGAAAAAAGGGACCCAGAGAAGTTCAACGCAGGCCTCCAATGTGGGAAGCAGAGTTCAGCGCAACTGGCACCGTCCGAAACCCTTGGCTCCCCGGTCCGCGGACAATTGTCAGACTTCCAGACTCATCCCATCCCGTCCAGTCCACATCCACATCCATCTTTTCCCACTCTGCTTTGCTCTGCCTCTTTCTCTGCGTGGAAACCCTGGACTGTGCTTTTTTCCCTTCTCCGATCACTTCGCCCTTCCCACTTCCTCTTTTCGGGCACAACATTCGAAAAGCGTTCGAAGATCGAAATCTTACGAAATTGTCGATTTGGGGAAGATCTCCCGCTCGAAGCCAACACATTCTCGCCAAATTCCCAATATCAATCACTGCGTCCCGGCCGCCCACGTTGCCCGCGGCCCACTGCAGAGAACAGTCCAGACGCCCAAAACCGCCCACCGGAGACCGGCAATCCAGGGATCCATCTCTTGGGTGGACAACAAAAGCAGAAAATCGCCTTGGCGATTTCAACTCCATTCTTCCACATTGATTCCTGTTGACTGTTATTGATATCGTCGACGAAGAGAAAGAGAGATTGGTTCTTTTGGGATATGGAGTGAATTTGGGCTTTGGGGGAAGCAAGACGTTACGCCGAAGCGACACATCGATACCCATATTGTCCTTTTATTGTTTGCCTTGTCTGCGGGGAACGAGATCTCGCGAGATCATAGCGACGCCGGAAATCAGAATCGCGCCTACCTTTGCCTTACCCATATAATATCCATCGAAAGGATTCGCCCATCATGACGACAACATCAGACCCCAATCCCCTCACAACACAACGCGGCGCCGCGCCGCTGACGACCGTCTTCACGACGCCCGACTTCTGCAAGTCGCTCTACTGGACCAACACCGAGACCCCGCCACTCTCCAGCATCGTATGCATGCCCACGTCATGGAAACAAGCGTACGACTATAGCTGGGGCTACTATTCTCCCGGCATTTGTCCAATGGGATACACCGAAGGCTGCGCGTTCCCGACGTCCCTGGCGTCGTCAAAGGACGGGAATGTCAGGCTAGGAGGCAGCGTGGTGAGCGGGGAGACGGCGCGGTTGTGTTGTCCGACGGGACATACTTGCTACACGGGGACGGACTATCCGTATAGCAAGTGTCTGTCAACAGTACCGACGACATCGTATTACGACTTGAATAACCAGCAAACGTCCCGTTTGGCGTTGGTGTATGCGATACAGGTTAGATGGCGAGCTTCGGATCTGAGTATTTTGGAGACAGATCCGACGGTTCCGGGGGCGACATACACGGGGCCGAGGTCGACGGGCGGGGTAAGCGGCGCGACGGCGTCCGCTACGGGAACCGCGGAATCGGGGAGCGGAGGATCGATTGCGACAGCAACGGCGACAACGACAGCGGAAGGATCGAATACTGGCGACTCAGGCGACGGCGGTGGGGGTATTTCGGTCGGAACAACGATAGCGATCGCCGTAGGGTCTGTGGCGGGCACGTTGGCGATTGCATTGGTTGCGTTTATGCTGTGCTGGCGGAGAAGAAAGAGGAAGCTTAGGAGAGTCAACACCGACCCGAACATGCGTGCGGACTCATCCTCGCCTGCGTTGGTGGCGGCTCACAAAGCTGAGACGTCTGGCAAAACGAGCTTGGAACTCATGTCCCCTAGTACGGCTACGACGGGTAGCGCGACTATGGTGGCGCCGCATTCGCCCAACCCAAACGCCGCCCAACTGGATTCGACGACTGTCGTGGAGATGGAGACAATGGAGCGGCCGGTAGAGCTGCAGGAGGATTGTATCGTGGAACTCGAAGGCGATATGCCAGGTCCACCGTTGTACCGGGAGAAGGAGGGGTGGCCTTTGAGATGAAGAGGCCGATTCTTGAATCTCAAAGGCCGAATCGCCTCAACGAATTCCTTTTGTCGACGTCTTATTTGGCACGCAATGTGTCTTGTGTATTATGCAGCGCCGGAGTTCAGCAGGATGGATTAAAGTAGCTCTAGCCGTGTCAGTCGGCATCTCGGCCAGGAGGGCGAGGCTTTGAGATATCAGCCGCATAGCCGCATAGATAGGATAAACCTAATCAACATTGAAATGATCATCAACCCGAAGTGCCGCTGAGCCTGTTTGCTGAGGTAGTGATGATGTTGCGACATATCCACCGAAGGGAGTTGCGGTACTCTTGGCTCGCATGAGCAGGATACAAGCTGTTTAATTAAGTACCTGAGCAATTAGGTCAGCCTTGTGGGCTTTCACTGTCGTTGATAAAAGGTTCCTCTAGTGCGAGGCCAAGATGCCAAGTGAGGATAGGCGATCAGACTGTGTGTTCCTGCGGTTGGTCCAAACCGGCCATAAGAAGGGGGGTTGGTAAGCTTATGCAGGTCTCGACCGGGATTGCGGAAGCTCCTCTGGAGCACTCTCACGCGCCGCATGTGTGGCTTACGTTAATAGCTTATTCTCAGAGTGTTGGAGAGAAGACAATCCCTACTCAGGAACCAGAGCTGAGAAAGAAGAATGCTGCTTGCATGCTGCTTGACTTCGTACGTCGTTTCTGTTGCTCATAACGGAGGCGTTGCCTCAATGCTGGCCGATCGAGCAGTTATGCTAGGCCGGACAAGCTTCTCAGATGCTTAAATTGCTCTTGGCTCAGCTTGCGGCCAAGTTCCGGAGGCTGTGCCTGATTTGATCAACGGCAGCCGATGCCGCCTTTCCTTCCAGTGTGAAGGACATCCTTCCGGATGTGGTACCAATTATCCTCTGCAAGATGATTAGTGAAGGCCAAAGATCGAAGCTCATAGCCGGCTGTGATGATGAGGCTTCTTGCCTTTGGGATTGACTCGACTCGATGCTTCCGGTTGACCGACCTCGAGGTGATAACCGCGGCAGAGCCTTCATGGGAGATCCACACTCCGTATGACGACCGGGTTGATTGCAACAAAAAACCAAACAATCGAACGATGAGCTTGAATCATGGCAGTTGATCGCCATCCAGCTAGAAACTGGTGGTAGGTCCACGGTGAGTCGTATTGGATTGCGTTGTTTCTCATGCACAATATCACCGATGTCCCCTAGCCGCTCCAATGCCGACCTGGCGTGCAATCTCGTGCCTTTTGATATCGTATGTTGGTCACATATAATTTAGCAAGCAAGATTAAAATGATTCAATGCTTGTTGCCCAGTGACATTGTTCGTCGTTTATCTCTGGCCGATCTGCTGCCTCTGCATGTGAGACCTGCATGGATCTCGGCATCCAGCACACGCATGCTACGAGAAATTTCAAGATAAGCGCAGGGCGTCGGGTGAGATTGGATCTTCACCAGTGAGAAAGCCAGGCTGACACAAGTGCTGAGGTGATTACCGCCTTGGTATCATCTGACTTGCGAAAACGGCCGGAGGGTATCGGACCCTTGGAGGCTGAGTGTGGAGGCGGAGAAGCGTCCGGGCGCCCCCGTTATTGACCAGTGTGGAGCCCCGGACGCGTGCCGTCCGGAGCGCGGGCAGCGAATGAAGACTGAGCTGGTCAGGCTGAGGTGGGCTAGGCCGTTGTGGGTGAGAAAGTTGGACCGTTAAGCGTCCACGATAGACGCTAAGGGGAGCGTGGTTCTGGGGCTGCTTATCCGCGCCCTTGTTAGCAGTAAGCCGTAATCACAGGCAGGCGCTTCTGGTGGAGCTGCGTCTGCTCAAGCAAGACAGATCCCCGAGTGACTCAGTTGTTTGTTCTGGTGCAAGTCGAGCGTGTTACTTTTGTTGGTTGGCACTTTTGTAGTAGCGTATGATTTGCACGTCTCCAACCGTGAGTCGAAGGCAGGGAGGTGGACCCAGGACCAGGGACCTTGAAGGCCAAGGTCGGGAACTCGAGCATGTTGCATGCGGCACAGTCGTTGGCCGATATGCGACAGGGTGCAGAGGATGAAAGAAAGCAAAGTTGTTATTGGCCCAAGGGGCGTTTGCGCCGTTCGAATTCGCGCTGATTTGGATCTGCTGCGGTGGCTCTGCAGTCGGGACACCGGTCTCTCAGCCAAGAGGCAGCATCAGCACCTTGATGGATCCTGTCGGAACGCGTGTTACACTCAATTCGGAAAGGAAGGTCGCAGGGGAAAAGATGCCATAAGACCAGCTGATGGCTCCTAGCCAGCGCCTGCCGGGCTATCCCTCGTTTTCTGTCCCTCATCTTCGAGCCTTTTATGCTTTCCGTTATCGCTGTTTTGCAGTTTGAGGATTCTCCAATTCGTTCCTCCGAGTCAAAGGTTGTGAACGTCAGCCTCAACACCAATCACGACATGGACGAAGAACAGTCTTTGCTGATGCGGATTCCCGCCGAGATTCGCATGATGATTTACGAGCACCTTCTGGACGACGGAGGCGAAAAGAAACTTGCGATCCGCAACAAAGCCATGCACCAGCTATTCGCAGCCAATCTGGGCACGTATAACCGGTCGAAATACCGAGTAATGCAGAGATCCTTTCAACGGACCTGCTTCGAGACGACGTACCACCTGGCGGCGAAGACGAAGATGCATACCGCAATCATGGCCGTCAACCAGCAGGTCCACCGCGAGACGAGCCATATGCTGTTCGGCCTCCATAATTTCGACTTTGACGGCGACATCGAGGCGGTTGTGCCGTTTCTCCAAGACCTGACACCGCGGTCGCGGGCCATGATTGGAGAGGTGACAATCCGCAAGGCGAGCCCATTGCATTTCACGGATAGCGACCGGTCGGATTGGTCCAACATGTGCAAATACCTGCGGAGGCTGGACAAGATCATTCCCAAGCTGCGGGTGGTTGTGGACGGCGGCAAGCCTGCCGAGAATGCGTGGGAAGGCGGGCGGCAGCTTGAGGTGTCAGACCTCAGGCTGTTGAGTCTCATCAAGCACGAGAGCATGGAGTGGATTGCGGATCTGAAAACAGTCGAAGGCCTCACGGAGCTGGAGGTCGTCCCCCACATGCGCTACCTCGGGGCGCCAACGACGTCGACAGCGTTGCTGTTCGCGGCCTTCTCCGCGTCCATCGACACAGCGCTGGTCGATTTCCTGCGGGAAGACTGCAATCTTCCCGCGAAGGCAGCTGCCTCGGCTTGAAGATCCAAACTGCCCGGTCGACCACCCGGGGAATTGCATTTGCATTTGGCATTGAGGGTGTTGGCGTTGGGACAAGGAAAGCGATGGGGGGCGAGTTGCATTTTGGGCGTGCTTTGGCCACTTCGGGGATTCGGTGGAAACGAACCCATCCCACTGACTGCGGGGATGGTGGGCTGGGGGGAGAATAATTGGAGAGAACGCGGAGAAGAACGAATGAATCTGGCTGGCGTTTGTGGGCGTTTGGTCTTGGGTAGCTGCAGGCAGAGCAACAGCGCAGTGCAATGCGACGAGTAACGAAACCCAAGGTGTTCCGTTCCGAGGGCATTCGGAACCTAGGTAGGCAGTTAGCGCAGGGTAGCTTGCGTGTTAGATTTTGAATGACTCCGTCACGAGGTTTGAAATATCTCGTGTCTCCCAGCGAGACCCTTGGACCGTGAAGCAGCTGCTGAGTGAGTGAGACCAGACGAGGCTAATAAAGCAGACCGGAGGAGACGCTGGAGCTGGGGCGGCTGCGTGGGCTGCAGTTGGAGAGGCGGTTGGAGAGGGATGGGATGGGATGGATTGACATGGATGTCGAGCCGGGGACTCGAGTGTGGACCTTGATAGCGCAGGTCCACGTCTGTCACAGCTCCTCCTTCCGGCGAGTGCCCCGCCTTGGCAGCATGCCGATCACGTGCAGACGTGATAATCTTATGTAAGGCACCGAGGGGGATCTCCTTACGTAAGGCCTTCTCCTGTTGGTGGATCCCGTCATTACATAATCTCGCATCTAGGCAGCCCGATAATCCGACACACTAGCCACCCGACAGCGCTGGCACCGAGCTGGACAGAGCTATGTGCCACAGTCACAGGCCATAGCAGGCACAGCATAGGTACCTATCCGTACCTACTACCTACCTAGGTACCCAAGCAACAGCAGCACGAGCAGCGCCGCAGCACCTGCACAGCCCGACCTTACCTCATCTGCCTCTCCCAGGCAAGCACCTCAGCCAGCAGCCAAGCACAAGCAGCCAACTCTCGCGATAACCGTCGTCACCTCTGCCCTTCAATCCGCCGACGTCCTCCACCATCCCCAGCCGCGCCAAACGACGCACCATCAGCTTGCGCCACCCAATCCCAGCCGCGCAATTGCCTCGATCCCCATTGCTGTCGCCTACCGTACCTCCGAGGCCCTCGTTGCTTCTTCCTCCATGAACTAATTCCAAACCCCCTACGTCGCCTCGATAGCTACCCCGCCGGTTCGACCTCGACATGTCTGCGACTCCCGTTCCGCCTGAGGACCAGGCACGCCTCCTCGAGGATGCCCTGGTCGCAGTGCGCCAGCAGACCGCCCTCATGCGAAAGTGCCTCGACACTCCAAGCAAGCTGATGGATGCTTTGAAGTGCTGGTACGTCATCCCCAATCACCGGATCCCCGGGAGCTCGACCGGAGCTCTGCTCCCACTCGCGATACCCTTGAATGGCCAATGCTGATCATCTCTTTCCTTGCGCATAGCTCGACTCTCGTTTCCGAGTTGCGCACCAGCAGTCTGGGTCCGAAGCAGTACTACGAACTATACATGGCCGTCTTCGATGCCCTGCGCTACCTGTCAGTCCACCTCCGCGAGAACCACCCCGTCAACCACCTCGCCGACCTCTACGAGCTCGTCCAGTATGCTGGAAACATCATCCCGCGCATGTATCTCATGATCACCGTCGGTACCGCCTATATGTCCATCCCCGATGCGCCCGTCAAGGAATTGATGAAGGACATGATGGACATGAGCCGAGGTGTCCAACACCCGATCCGCGGCCTCTTCTTGAGGTATTATCTGTCTGGCCAGGCCAGAGACTACCTCCCCTCGGGCGATGGTGATGGCCCAGAGGGAAACCTGTCCGATTCAATCAACTTCGTTCTCACCAACTTTGTCGAGATGAACAAGCTCTGGGTGCGCTTGCAGCATCAGGGCCACTCCCGCGAACGCGAGCAACGGACGAGAGAAAGAAAGGAATTGCAGCTGCTGGTGGGAAGCAACATCGTGCGACTCAGCCAGCTGGTAGACCTCGAGACTTACAAGTCTGGCATTCTGGCGCCCCTGTTGGAGCAGGTGGTGCAGTGCCGCGATGTTTTGGCCCAGGAATATCTGCTCGAGGTCATTACCCAGGTCTTCCCCGACGATTTCCACCTCCACACCCTTGATCAATTCCTAGGGGCCGTGTCACGCCTCAACCCCCACGTCAACGTCAAGGCCATCGTCATTGGCCTGATGGACCGCCTGTCAGACTACGCCGAGCGCGAATCCAAGGATGAGACGGAGGATGACAGAGCCAAGGTGGAGGAGGAGGCTCTTGTGAAGTTGCTTGAGAAGACGAGTTTAAAGAAGGAGAGCCAGTCGGCCGCGGCTAGCACGCTTGCGCCATCAGAAGCCGGAGACGAAGTCAGGAAACTGGATGACCTCGACGAAAATGGAGCCCATACGAACCCGCAGACCAGCGAGAACGAGGCGCGTGCTCAAGAAGATCTTCCTCCGCCAGAGCCCACACCGTCCATCGCCGATACCGAGAGCACGGCCGTTAATGGGGACGGCAGCGCGCCAGAGAAGGGCATTCCGGAGCACGTCCAGCTCTACGAGATCTTCTTCAGCCAAGTCAAGAACCTCGTTGAGGCGCAACATTTGCCTATTCAGGACACGATAGCCCTGCTCTGCTCCTTGACAAACCTGGCCCTCAACATTTACCCCGAGAGGCTAGACTTTGTCAACCAAATCCTCGACTACGCCACCATCAAGGTCAGGGAGAACGCGAACAACGCAGACTTGCACTCTCCCCAGGCCCAGCAGAGCCTCCTGGCCCTGCTCCAAGCCCCCCTCAACCGATACCTCTCTATTTTCACCGCCCTCTCCCTCCCTACCTACGTTCCTCTGTTCCAATCGCAATCATACCCGACTCGACGAGCGGTGGCTGGCGAAGTGGCTAGGACCCTTCTCCAACATCAGACGCGCATCGCGACACCCAGCCAGCTGGAGAACGTCTTAGAAGTGCTAAAGGTGCTCATCAAGGAGGGCTCTCAGCCGCCAAACAACTACCCCGGCGTGGCACAGCGCCGTAATGTCGAGACCGACGAGACGTTGGAGGAGCAAGGCTGGCTGGCCAGAATTGTCCATCTCATCAACGGCGAGGATAATGACACACAGTTCCGCTTGTTGCAGATGACGCGCAAGGCGTACTCTGAAGGCAACGAGAGAATCCGCACAACAACACCTCCCCTCATCACAGCTTGCATGAAACTGGCGCGGCGCTTCAAGCTGCGCGAGCACTATGAAGACAACTGGGAGACTCAGAGCAACGCCCTCTTCAAGTTTATGCACTCTGCCCTGAGCACTCTGTACACCCGCGTGAACGGTGCCGGCGCGGCCGAACTGGCTCTCCGCCTGTTCTGCGCGTCCGGCCAGACAGCCGACATGACTGGGTTCCAAGAGGTCGCATACGAGTTCTTCGCCCAGGCTTTCACCGTGTATGAAGAGGCCATCACAGACTCCAAGGCGCAGTTCCAGGCGGTCTGCGTTATTGCCACGGCGCTGCACCAGACAAGAAACTTTGACAAGGAGAACTACGACACCCTCATCACCAAGTGCGCTCAGCACGGTAGCAAGCTCCTCAGGAAGCCTGACCAGTGCCGCGCCGTCTACCTTGCCAGTCACCTATGGTGGGCCACGCCCATGGCTGCCAACGGCGAGGCAGACGAGACTGGCGTAAGTGCACCTGCCCTGCATCTCATGACATTGACTGACACATTCCAGCTGTACCGCGATGGCAAGAGAGTCCTCGAGTGCCTCCAACGAGCCCTCCGCGTCGCTGACTCCTGCATGGAGACCGCCACCTCCATCGAACTCTTCGTCGAGATCCTCGACCGATATGTCTACTACTTTGACCAGCAAAACGAGTCGGTAAGTCGCATCCCTCTAACCCCCAAAACGGCGGCGGACCCCGATCTGACATCGATGCAGGTCACAACCAAGTACCTCAACGGCCTCATCGAGCTCATCCACTCGAACCTCGCCGGCAACCAGCAGGACTCGGCCTCGATTGAGAACAGCAAGCGTCACTTCTACCACATCCTCGAGAGCATCAAGAGCAGGCAGTACGAAGGCCTGGTTCTCTACCCCAAATGAGATGACCCGCCATCCATCTTTTTTGATTAGTCACAGTCGTCATCACGTTTTCACCCTCTCATCATATTCACATTTAACGACACTGTTACGGATTGGGCGCGAATGAGAGGGGAAGGAGAATGCAACGAGGAGATGAAGGATCAGGGTCGGAGGAGAGTAGGAGGCAGGCAGTGTCGTTGTCGTAATCAGTAGTGGTGGAAGCAAATAGTGTTGGAGTAAAGGAAGTTGTCGCGAGCAAGAAAAAAAGAGACGTCGTGTTCATACGATAAGCGCATGCAATCCCAAGTATTTTGTTGGAAAAAAAAAGTCCTCTGATGTACTGCATGATTTATAAAATTCCAGCGCTCAAGTAACTCCCAGGTTTTCTCCTTGTCGAGCTTCTAGGTCCCGGATGCGTCTCAAGAATCGCGGTGACCTCCGAGACGTCGACAGAACCCAACATACTTCACTTCAAAGCGCTGCACCACACATCTCTCACCACACTCTCCAATCATTTTTCAATATGAGTTGGGTAGTATATTCAAGAAAGAACTGCATACCAACCCAATGGGGCGCAAAAGCGTACTACCTTCCTCATTTAGCAAGCACAAACGACGAATGAAGCTGAATTTCGAGAAGCCCCCCCGTCACCGTAAACTCCATGCAATGCCAAACGAAGCAGACGGCCCGCAGGACGGTCCTCAATCCGTGCCGCGCGACTCGAGCTTCAGTATAAGATTTCCGAATAAGAACACAAGGGGAAAATAAGAGGTCACCGGCCTTGCCTCAAGGGGACAGGGCTGTTGCGGTGACAGTGGTGACAGTGGGCGAGTCGCCCCTTAATCTGGGACGAGACTTTTTTCTTCTTACAAAAAAAAAAACCGATGCGCGTGAGGGGGCTTGAGTTTAAAAAGAATTGAGATAAAAACGACAACAATGGAACGACAAGAGGTTCGTGGTGATATTGCTAAAACGGGGATCAGTCGCCCTTCTCCTTGGCCTCCTTCTCCCACGTCTGGAGCATGGCGGTCGCGTTCTGGAGGATCTGCGCCGTCTTGTCGACGAGTTTGCTCGCGAGGGCCCAGTCGCGCGCCTCGACGGCGTCGCGGATGGCGGGGAAGGTCACGGGGTGGTTGCCGGACCATGCCTGGGGGCCGTAGACGACGTGTTTGAACTGGGCGCGGTTCGGGATCTTGAATGTTCTTGTTAGCCTGTTTGGTGTGAGAGTATCGGGAATGAATTTTGACTTACGCCGCCGCCCTGGTCGAGGTCTAGTAGCGCCGTCTCGAAATCGGCCATGTGCGTGTTGAACTCGATGCGCAAATCGCCCATTTTGCTCGATTCCCAGCCACCGCCGCCCATGACGTTGGACTCCCACGACATCTCCCACATGGCGAAGCTCTTGAGGCCGATCTTGACGATGTCGACAACCTTCTTCAAGGGGTCGATGGAGAACTTGGCCTTGTCGATGTTGCTGCGGTCACAGAAGTTGGAGAGGTCGTTGACGTAGCGCTCGATGCGGTCGCCGTAGCCCACCATGTCGAATGGTAGGACGGGCTTGTCCGCCAGCTCGAGAACCAAAAGGCCGACGATCTGACCCATCATAGCGTGGTAGGTGAACTCTGGGTCGCCGATACGCTGAACCCATTCGTAGTTGTCGTAGCTGGATTGTTTAGGGTAGCGAGCACCTCGGAAGCCCAGATCGAGAGAGCTCGTGCCGGCAATGGTCTGGAAGGGGACGTAGTCACCACTCATATCCAGCTCTTCGAGATCGGCCTGGCGCTGGTCCCAGAGACCGCGCAGGGTGTTGTTGAGGTTCTCGTCAAAGACGCGGTCAATCACGCGGAGCACCGATTGCTTGAAGACGGGAGAGCCTGCGGCGTGAAACTCGGTGCCTGCGACAGCAGCGTCTAAGTTCACGTAGGCGAAGGCGTTCTTTCTGAGCGACTCGTCGTTGTGCTCGACAAATTCGGTGGAACCAATCATGTTGTACTCCTCGGCGTCCCAGGACATGAACTCAATGCTCCGAAGTGGGCGCCAGCCCTTGCTGACGAGCGATCCGAAAATGCGCGCCATCTCGATGAGGACAGCTGTGCCAGAGTGAGGCTCGGTAGCGCCAAACGCCCAGGCATCGCGGTGGTTGCCGATGATGATGGACTTGGCGTCCTGCTCGATACCCTCAATCTTTCCGTAGATGTTCCAGATAGCCTTCTCCTGAACGACGTCATTGTCGTTCTTGAGACGGACGATGGGTGATGAGAGATTGCCCGTCCACCACTCGGCGACATCAGGGACACCACCTGCCCATTCCTTCGGCACCTGCTCTCCAAATCCCTTGATGTGTTGCAGCAGAATCTGAGCATCACGCCACGCGAGGGGCAAGCTCGGAATCTTCTGCAGGCCTGGCGTCTCGTCCGGCTTCATGCGCGGCAGGTTCTTCTTGCTCTCCCAGCCAGGGGTAAGGGGGTCGCCAATCACCCAGTTGGACAATGCGACGGATCCTCTCTGGACACCATCCGCAGGCATGAAGCGGCCGTTGGGCGCAACATCTCCCATCCTGAAGCCGTCGTCCGCCGGGTCGCTGTAGACGATGCACCCCGCAAAGCCGGCCTCTTCCGCCGCCTTGACCTTCAGCGCCAGGTTCGCCTGCGGGCCGTAGTATCGAACTAGCGCAATCGCGCCTTTGGTGTCGATCCCGCTGTCGGCCAATTTCTTGAAATCCGATCGTGCGCCGTAGTTGGCGTAAATGAGGGGCCCCTTGACGTCGCCGGACTTGGACAGACCGTGGAAGACCAGAGTCTGGTGCCCCGCGGCCTCTCCGCCCACTTCCTCCTCTTCCAGCTTCGCAGTCCACTTCGCCTTGCCGTCGTCGCCCAGTATCTCGACCGCTCGTCCGCCGGCCTTCGGGTAGTTCATATATACGTAGTACTCGTCGATGTTGACGTAATCCAGCCCGGCCCTGGTGAACATGGACTCGACGTCCATGGCCAGGGCGTAGTCGCCCTCGGTTCCTGCCATGTGGGCGTACTTTGTGTAATGGGCCACGGAGGCGCGCAGCCTGCGGGCCTCGACGTTGCCCTGGACAAACTGGCGCACGTCTTCGGGGTTGAAGCGCAGGCCACCATTCATCCTCCTCGCCATGCTCGTAAACAGATCGCTCATAAACAGGGCGTACAGAATTCCCATGACAAACAGGATGGCAAAGACTCGTATGAATATTATAATGGCCGCCCGCGCCTTGTCCTTGTCCCAGTTTGGCAAAGCCTCCCGCAGCCTCCTTCTCGCTGACGTCGTGGTCGTGTTCGCATCGTTACCGTCGTTGGAATTGTCGTTGGAACCAGATGGTAGCCGGATCGTAGGGCGCTGTATCCTTGGCAGCCGCCATCGCCAAGACCACTTCCAGCGGGACAGGGAGAGGGCGAAAGGTATCCTCTTGCCCCATATTGAGGAGCGCGACCTGTCGTCGGGCTCGCCAATCTCCAGCTCCTGCATTTCCCTGCGCACGTACGCCGTCTCGTCGCCATCGTCGTCGCTCCAGGAGCTGTCCTCGTCGTCTGTCTCGACCGTTGGTTGGCGGTAGCCGCCGGGGCGGCGGGAGGAGGTTGCGGCGCCATTGCGGTGCAGCAGGGACTGCGACTCGGTCTCGGTCTGTGAGCGGTCGTCTATCGGGGAGCGCGGGGGGTTCCAATCGGACGGGTTTGCCGGGCCGCCGACGGCGAGGGCTTCGTCGTACGAGGGGATTGGTGGTACGGACTCGTACCGGTGGTCGCGATCCGACGGCATCGTGGCGTGTGTGTGTGTGTGTGTTCGGTGGCCCCGGAATCAGGGGTTCTGCGATGACGAAAGGGTGCTTGGTTGGTTATAGAGGGCGGCTGATGGCAGGCATCAAGAGATGCAGCGGCGAAAGAGCGAGATTGGTTGTCGAAGCCGGAGATGCAGTCCGGGCAGTGAAGGAGTGTATGTGTTCTTTGTGTGAGGATCGTGGGTGCAGGCGCAGATGAGATGCAACGCAACGCAATGCAGTCGAGTACTATCGAAGAACAGGCGCGCCCATGGATGCCGCTGCGGTACGCGCAGACATTGACCGGGTCTAGAGTCTATCGGGGCGGCGAGGAGGAGGACGGGTCGAGTGTCGTTGTCACGATACCATCCCGGCAGGCGGCAGCAGGTGAAGGGGTCGATGAGGGAGGTCTGGTCGTGTCGAAAGCACGGAGCTGGCGATCTGTGATTTGGTAATTGATTATTCGAGGTTCACTTTGTTGGAGGCGTTGCCGTCGGGTCCCGTCCCAGTAGTCTGTTCCAAAGTGGCAGTCGGGTCCTGGTCTGGTCCGGTACCATCTCAGCAGGCCGTCGTCCCGTCCGTGCTGCACTGCAGTCGCTGAATTAAACTGCACCCGCTGAAAAGGACCTCATTACAGTGCTGTGGCAGCCGCATTAGTGTCCGTCCAGGGACTCGAACTCCCGAGTGCCTGCTGAAGCTGCGTGGCTGCCCACTGTCCTTTCTGTCTGCTCACTGAAGAAGGGACCCTGTAGCTGTCCCACTAAGCGAGAGACTAAAGCCAATCAACGACCTTCAACAGATCTGGGCGATTACGCAGGCCTGTTCACCTCTGCCAATGAGAACCGTGGATACGGAGGGAGCCCCCCCCACTCTGGACTCGGAGAGAAAGAGGCAGCCGCGTATCGGCCTTTGTCGCCTTATGTAATCACTTCCATTGTATCAGCACGTTATCCAAAGGGACAGGGGGCTGAAATTATGTCATCAGCACCGCCACCCTTGGCCGTCTCCCACGACGCAGTTGGCCAATGACCCCTGACATGCTCCTCGGCAAAGTTCCCCTCCTTTCTCCATCCCTTGCCTTCCCTTCCAAGCCGTCTGCGCAATCAGCTGTGGTTGTGCAATCGCAGACCACACCAAATCCCTGACACTCTCTCTCCTTTTCGACTGGCGAATCTCGTTGCTCCACCGTTCTCCACCGTCCGCCACCTGTAACAAGAAAGGGCCTCCTTGCTTCCACTCTCAAACGTGCCTCCGGAGGTTCGCACTGGTTTCATGTCCCCCCATGGAAAGGAATGCTGGAAACTCCCCCGGGGCCCTCCGTGCCGGCCCTGAAAATCCGGTACGGAGATGCTGCTTTTGGCCCAGACCCTTATTCCCCGGTGCACCGTATCCGGGCCCTTGCGGGCGTGCCGTGCTTCTTTTGATGTCGTCCGAATGTAAGGCTGTGATGGATACTGACTATATCTCTTATCCAAAAGCACATACAGGTTGTATTTCCCTTTCTAGCGCTTCTATCGACGATACCCTCAAACGCCGTGCTGCCCTGTTCATTCCGACACGAATTCCGCGCCGATTCCGACATTTCCGCCCGAGAAACAATTCCCATCAAACAAACAAACATCGCTCACCAACGCCGATTCCCTCACGATCGAAAACATGATAATCATACCCGGATACCCTTTACAATCGCCATCTGGACCGTGTCGTGGCTCATAAGGCACGCCAGCTCCAGCGTAATCGCGTGGTGGAAGTACGCCGCCATCGTCCCGGGGCAACAACCAGCTTCGTTTCGCGCAGCCTCCGCCACGAGCTCGGCCATCGGGTACCCTTCCGAAAGACGTCCGATGATTAACTGGTTGGCTTGGATCACGAGGGGCACATCCGGATACCAATCTGCGGCGGTTGTGGTTAGCAAGCCCTCTTTGTTCGCGCCGCAATCGCAGGCTACAAACCTCGGTCAAAGATGAAGTGCTTCCTACAGAGCGTCAGCAACCAGTCAACGACCTCGATCGGTGGGAAAATCATCGCTTACGATGGCAATTCCAATGTCGCCGTCGTATTAGACGCGCTCGAGCGGCTTGAGCCGCTGCAGATGCTTTGTGCCCTCCCGCGCATGCTGTTTCCTTTGTTTCGTCCGTTCTCGGCCACTTCGTGCATTTCCCGACCGGCGATTGTTTCTGCCCTTTGTGATTCGGTTCAGAGCGTTCCAAGAGGCATGGAATGTACATTTCTACACTTGCAGAAGATTCGTACACACGCGCATATTATACGCGCAGCGTCGTACATTTTGCGTCGCCCATGAGCGTGTTTGAGCACATTTTAATCAGCAATGCGCGCCACAATCCATCCAACCAACAAAACCAACTCTTGGTAGTGGGCATACTTGCTCAGAGGAAAACCACTTCTTTCGCAACTCAACAGCCCAATTAACTCAGTAACCTTCCATTGTAGAATCGTCAAATTGCGACACTAGTAATCGTGGGGGCATAACGCTGCCACCTTTCGAACCTGCGCAGTTTGCCTCACGTCCAAATAGCAGGTGGGATATTCCAGCCTTTACGAATTGCCAGCGATTGGAACCTGTTGCTTTTAACCTGCTCAGAGAAAAGCCACCTCTTTCGCACTTGGCTTGTAAGAACCCAATCGACCTAATCGCCCTTGTAGAGTCGCCAAGTTGGGCCGAACGACGCGCCCACCTTTCGAACCTGCACGACTTGCCTCAGGTCCAAAGAGCAGGTGGCATGATCCAGCCCCTACGAATTACCAGCAAAATCATCATTGCTCAGAGAAAAGCCATCTCTTCCCCAATTGCCTTACAATAACACAATTGAGTTGATTGTCCTTGCATTGCCCTTGTAGAGTGGCCAAGTTGTGGCACTAGTAACCATAGAGGCCGAACGACGCTCCCACCTTTTGAACCTCCGCGATTGCCATTAAAGCGACCGAGGATGTCCAAAGAGCAGAATGCGATCGAACACCCCATACGAATTACCAGCAATTGAATTACAATTTTTTTTTCGCCACATCTTGGGGTATTGCATCGGTACCGTCCTGCAGGCTCGCGGAGCCTTCCGTTTCGTAGGTAACAAACCCCCCCAGAATCGGGACTAGGCCCGGCGGGGGGTGATCGATCGCGTTCGAGAACTTTGGGGGAGAAAAAGGCAGTTTTGGCCAATCCGACCAACGAACTTCGCGTTTTCGTTGCATCTCCGCGGCGAAATGGGCAAGGAACACTCGTCTGGGTAGCGCTCGCACGTGTTCCTATAATTTTCCGTCCGCTACAGTCCCAATTGGGAACTACTGGTATTTGGAAAACAATCAGCCAACCGTGATCTGGCAACCGTCCGAAAAACGAACTTGTGGGGGAAAGGGGAGGAGTTGTTGGAACCTGTCAGAAGTCTGAGCAACACCGTTCTTGAAACTTGACGGATTGCCAGTTGTACAGTCCTCGCACATAGGCGGAAACTTGTATAGTCTGAGTCGCATTTGCTTATTTCTTTCGTATTCGTAGCTGTAGTTGCGTTTCGACGTGAGACATTTGCCTGCCCACGCGGCGACCTGCAACTGTAGAAATTGAGCTCCAGCTGGCAGAACGCAATTTCCCATCATTGAGACCTATTTTTCTGCAAATCGAAAACCATAAGCGAATGTCCCGAAATCGTTGTTTGCGGATTCAATTACTTACAGCGTGTCCATTTCGACGCTGCTTCACATCTAGCAGGCCAGATACCGTGCTACAGTCGTCTACAGGCCACGAGCCAGTTGAATTATGACGAAGCCGGTCGATTCTGGCGGGTTATCGAGAATTGAAAAAGGTCGTCCTAATTCAATTTCGTTCAACCCGTCACGTTTCACCCGTCCTGTACACTCGGGGAGCCGCCCGACATTGTCATCTGCCAAGTTTCGTGTTTGTCATGCGGCTCCAACGAGGGAACGATGCCTAAGTCCGATCTCCTAGACGAGGGACTGGCTTGTTTGCCAAAACAAAAAGGTTCAAACAGATTCGAGAGAAGATCGCGTTGTCAGCCTAGTACACGCCGTCAACACCTAGGCTTGGCAGATTGACTGTTCCTATCAGCAAGACTTGCGTTAGCCAATGTTGAACCCGCTTCAAGCTCTCTTTCCGTCCAACATTTTCCCGGAAACAGTTGAACAAGGGACTGTTCACTTACCGTGCGGAGGTTATAGAATCATTGGGGTTTTCCTTCTAGGCCCTCATAATGCTCCAACGAACGGCCGCAATTAGGTTCAGTCTTAGACGCACAACTGGAAATGCTGTATCGCAAGGAATTGAGCCGAGAATAACAGCGACAAAAGCTTCAATTACATAGCCACCTACACGGCGTTTGCGACCCAGCTTCAGCAACGTTTGACGTTCCTGTCCCACAGATCTCGAGTTAGCCACTGTCTAATCCGTTGCAATTCTCTTCATTCCCAACACTTTCTGGGTTAAAATTGAAAATGTACTCTTCACTTACTGCGCTGGGTTGCGAAGTCCTTTGGTGCCCTTCCGATCCCTTATGCCTGTCTCCCTTATTCCATTGAAACTGAGGCCGATTACATGGCTGGCATCCGCTCTTGCAGAATCTCGCTCGTTCAAATAGCTTGCAAATAATCCATGCGCCGAGCGCACTCGAGATAAAATAGCTTCTATTTCCTAAGTGAGTTTCAGTCTCGTAACTAGAAGCGATGTTGTTCCCGTACCATATTGAAGGCGCCCAGCCGCGTCTTCACCATTTGAAGAGTAGGCGTTCCGATTCTAATCAAACTTTTCGATTCTTAGCGATTCTTTCGATTCTAGGCGGATGTGTCGATTGCGAAGCTTGCATATTGTTAGCAACTACTTCTTGTCGTCGCATCAGCAACTCGGGTTTCCTCGAAAAACCCGAACAATTCAAAGAGCGTGCGTACCTTTGCGAATTTGCGAGCGTTTCCACGCAAGCTTCAGCCCATTATCCAAATGCGCCGCAAATGCGCTCATCAGTGCATGAAGTCCTGTACG